GCCCTCGAACTTTTTGACGAGGCGCTTGACGAAGTCGCTGGGCCGCTGCATCTCCTCCGACTGCTCCCACCGCGCCTGCGCCGCCTCAACCGGCATCGCGCCAGCGCCCGCTGCCTGGAGGTCGTCGGGCGCGGGGGCGTCGTCCACGGGCACGTCCGCATCCTTCGTGCCTCCCCTGGCGAACCTTATCCGTTGGGTTTCTACCAGGTCCTTCAGCTCGTCTTCGTCGAGATCGCGCAGGGCCCTGAACGGGGCGAGGACGTCGTCCTTCAGAGCGCGGGCAGCGCGACGCGACGCGTCGGCGTCATTCGGACCCGGCAGCGCGCCGTTCTCCATCATTCTGGCGGCCTTCTTGAGCTCCTTGACGAAGGCCTGCGCGCGCTCGGCGGTGTCGAAGCGCAAGATCTGCCCGAGCGTCTCGGGGTCGAAGTGATGCTCCAGGACCGCGTTGGCGCCCAGCTTCGCGAAGCCTTCCTGAGCGCGGATGCCCTGGGCCCCCACCTGCGCGGCGCCCGCGCCCGAGTCCTCGGCGCCCTCCCGGAACACGGGGGCCTCGGGGACGTGCACGTCGTCCTTCTGCGGCCTCTTCGGCTTCGAAGCCTTCGCCTTGGAGATGCCGTCGAAGTTGGCCGCGGTCTTCGTGGTCTCCAGGGCCAGGTACTCCTGCACGGTCAGCATGCTGTCCAGCCAGTTGCCCAGCTCCGTGCACTGGGCGCACTGGCACGGAGGCTGCACGTCCTCCCCGCGGTCGCTGCGCTTCTCGCGCAGCGCGGACTCGACCTCCTTCGTGTTCCAGATGCTGGGGGTCGCCCACGACCCGACGTCATTCCTGAGGCACTTCGCCCTGGCCGTCTTCGCCAGCTGCTCCTGGACGATGGCGAACGACTCCCAGCCTCTCTGGAACGGGCCCGAGACGCCTTCCCCCGCCGGCTGCGCCGGCCACCCCGGCTCGCCCTCCGGCGCCGCGCACAGGTGCTCGTACGCGCGGAGGTAGCGCAGCTCCTTCGTGTCGTTGGGCCCGTCGGCGTCCGGCAGATGCACTGGTCGGAGCAGCGCCGACTTCATGAGGTAGTGCGTCTCGACGTTCGACTCCGCGCTACTGAACTGGAAGCCGTCGGGCTTCGGAATGCGCGGCTCGACGGCGAGCCTCTGAGTCCAATTCCGCGCCGCCGAGTAGGCGGAGTCGAAGGGGATGTCGACGTGCAGGGGGCGACCCCCGCTGCCCTCGGGCCCCAGCTCCCCGGCCGGGAGGGCATGCAGCGGCAGTTCCACGCGGTGCACCCAGATGCTGTAGACGTACAAGCTCATGTCTCGGACAATAGGGTGGTCGCCACGGTGCATCCAATCGTCGTGCTGGCTCAGCACGGCGCCCGTGAACTTGCCCTGCGCGAGGCCCTCGACAGTCGGCCCCGGTGTCTCAGGCTGCTCTTCTGCCTCGCCTTCCCGCATCTTGTTCAACGCCTTCGTCGCGTCGCGCAGCGAGCCGCCGCTGGCGTTCGCGATCTGGAACGCCTGGTGCGCGTACTCGATCGTGTCGAACTCCTCGCCGTCGGGGCTGACGTACACCGTCTCGCCCTCGCGCTGCACCTCGCTCCACCCCGGCATCGCGACCTGCTGACCAGTGCCGGGGACCGCGTACGTGATCGAGGCGGCGGGCGGGCTTTCCGCGGTGTCGGCCTGGCCGTATCGCCTGCGCCAGGACTCCGCGGCGAGGTAGATGGATTTCCGCATGGAACAGCACCTGCAGCGTGCGCTTGAAATCCTCCTTGCGCTTCCCTGCAGCAGTCGACTGGGGGTCGTCGACGACGTCGCCCGCGGCCTGCGCCTCCCAGTCGTCCCACTGGCTCTTGAGGCGGCGCACGCCGTCAAGGAGCTTGCAGGGCACGTCGTCCATGATTGGGTATCACCTTCGTGGTGTAAGAGTTCACGTAGTAGCTCGCGTTGTGAGCATCCACGAAAGTAGCGAGCGCGTGCCGTTCCAGGTCGCACTGGAGATTTGCGCGCGCAGCGTCGTCACCGTCCACGCTCGGGCTGTCGCAGTCCGCGAGCTCCTTGAAGATCTCGTGCCAGTCGGTGACTACGACGAGGTCCCACTTCGCCTCGGACGCGGTGTTCAGGTGCTGGAACCATCCCCAGTCCTCCCGGGCGCCCGCCGAGAAGTCGGGGTAGCGCTGAGGGTAGAGGCCATGGTTGTAACTGTTGCGGTGCTCCTCTTTCCCCGGCGGTTCCAGCTCCGACGCCTCCATCCACAGGCGCGGCGGCGGCGCCCGTCTCATGTCCTGCACGTCCACGTTGCACCGCGCCGAGACGAGCGCCGCGTACTTGGTGGAGGTCTCCCCGGGGTGGAGCTGAAAGGTGACGATGCGCCCGGCCATGCCGTAGTCCGTCTCCAGGAAAATGCCGATGCAGCCGCGCAGCGCCTTCCCGCGCGTGCGGAACAGGCACTCTTGGGAGTCCTCATCCTCGGGCCACGTGCACAACGTCACCAGGTTGTAGTAGTTGTGGCGGCGGATCTGCGAGCCGCGCGCCTTGTCCGAATGGTGCTTGTAGCAGGAGGGGCTGCAGGCGTGGATGCCGCAGCCGATGACGAGCTCGCGCAAGTCGCGGCACATCTCGCGAATCCACTCGTCGCTCGGGAGGAACCCCGCCAGGGTCCTTCCGCCGCGGTACCTCGGGAAGATGCCGGACGCGCTGCTGCAGAGCGGCCGCCCCCAGAGATTCTCGGTTTCCGCGGCCCGCTGCTCTGTCCACGTCGCAGCGTCGCCCACGATCTCGCCTTTGTTGTTGCGCAGCGGCAGATCGGGGCGAATGGCCCTGTGGTAGTCATCTGACCTGGGATCGTAGAAGTACAGCGCCTCCTCTGTTTCGCCTTCCGTACCGAGCTGCTCTGGCGTCGCCATCTCCTCGCCGCCGTCGGCTCTGAAATGCCGCTTCTCGTTGGGCCCGAACGGGAGCGGCGGCGCCGCGGTTCCGCACTTGTTCTCGCCTCCCTGCAGATGCAGGGGCAGCAGCTCCACGGCGCTCTGCTGAGTGGCGACGACGGCCCGCACCACCTGCCGCATCCACCTGTTCAGGCGCTGCTGGAAGTGCGCCTGGTCGCGCTGCAGCATGTCCAGGAGCACTTGCAGCTGGCCCTGCAGCGGCCAGATGAGGATGTGCGGGTGCAGAGAGCCGCGGCCCTGGGCCTCGACAGGACCGAAGGCGGCCGCGCAGGGGCCGAACACCGTGGGCACGCCCATAAGATCGGCCGCCACGCCGTCGGAAACCCAGTGCTCCGAAGCCTTTCGAACTTCTCCTCGCCGCCACCCGACGGTCTCTGGGCGCAGGCCGAGGACGTGGACGAAGAACAGCCTCATCATAAGCTCGAACACCACGGCCTGGCCCACAGGATCCGCGGCGACGCGCTGCGACATCTCCCTCAACGTGACTTGCTCCGCCTCGTTCAGGTCGTTGTCGAAGTTGTACTCCTCCCCCTGCACGACGAGGATCAGGGGCTGCTTGGTGTCGGCCAGATTCGGGGTGACGAACAGGACGGGCGGGCCAAAGCGCAAGGTGTACGCCTCGCCCTCTCCGCGCAGCTCCCGCCTGTGTCCGTCGGACCCGACTTGACTGGCAGTGGCCTGGCCCAGGGTGGCGAAGGCCTTGCGCACCTCGTTCGGGGTGTCCTTGTCCTTGAGGATGCCGTGCAGCGTGGCCTTCCCGCCCGTCTGCTGCGCCCTGAGCTGCACCTCCTCGATCATCTCCGGCGTGATGTCCGCGCAGGCGCGAGCGGCCCCGAATGCCCCGGTCGTCTTCATGAAGGTGTAGGTGCTGTTGGTCGTCTCCGTGACTCAGTAGAAGGAGTGCAGCAGGTGCACGTCGTACCAGGAGCTCCGGAAACGATTGATGGGCGCGGCCACGTACTTCGCCTCGTCGCCGGGCACGTCGTATTCCATCTCCTCCCGCGTGAGAAGATTATTGATGAAGTGCGTCACGCTGAAGCAGAGCCGACCCGGCTTCTCGCCGAGGCCCCAGGCGCAGTCCCCGTAGGAGAAGTCCGTGGGCCTGGCAATCGACCAGTACTTCGGATCCCACCAGGTCTCCGCCTTCCTCGAAGTGGGGGCCCGAAGCCTCGCCTTTCGCTGGCCGTCTGGGCCGGGCGGTTCCTGCAAGGAGCGCGGGTCGTCCTCGGCGGGAGCCCCCGCGACTTTTGCAGGTCGCGCCAGGTCGCCCGCGTCCTCCCCCGCCTGGCAGGTGTTCGTCTCCAGCGCCTGGACGCGCCAGTGCAGCCTCGCCCTGTCCTCCCCCGGGGAGATCTTCCGACAGCGCGAATGGAACTCCTTGCAGAGATCCCGCAGGCGGTGACGCCCGATCTCGTCCAGCTGCAGCGCCCTGCCCTCGCCTCTCTGGTCTTCGAGCCTGGACATCAGCTCGTTGGCCACCACGCGGCCCGCCTGACTCTCCATCCTCTCGAGCATGCCCTGCAGCGCCGGCAGGGACGTGAGCTCGCTGACGTCGTCCATGTGGTCTTCAACGACGGAGAGCCACTTGGTGAGCTCCTGCGCGCCCTCGGCGACCGCGCCCATCTCCGCCTGCGCGCCAGTGGTGGCCGAGGCGGGCCCCTGCGCCTGCACGACGTCGTCCTTCGCCGCGTCCGTGGGAAAATTTTTCGCGCGGGCCAGCATGCAGTCGGGCACGCCCGGCTGCGGGGGAAACTGGTCCACGAGGTCCGATCGGCACTGCACGCTCGGGTCATTGTACACGTAGTTGTGCTGCTTCAACAACCGCGCCTGGGCGTCGTACTCCGCCTTGTCGACGTGCAACGCCACCTCCTCCCTCATGGCTCTCAGGGCCCTCTCCTGCTTCTGCTCCCCAGTAAGGGGAATGCCCTCGTCGTCGTCGTCGGCGCCCGCGAAGACGGCCGCGAACGTGTCCCTGAGCATGTCGGGCTCCGGCGGGAAGCACCGCATCGCGTGGTCCACGTTCCCGTTCCCGAACACGATGGCGGTGCCCTGCATGGCTTACTGCAAGAACTTCTGCCTCCACGACTGCTGCTCCTGCCGGACGGCCTTGTCGGCGCCCTTGCTGGACAGGTAGATCTTCGTGGACACGACGCGGCCCAGCGCGAGCAGCATCTGGTGCGCGAGAGCGCCTTCCTGAGCAGGGGGTGGTGGCGGCCCAGCCAGAGGTCGTTCACCAGCGCCGTGAGCGGCACCTGGGGATGATCGGACCACAGGTCCTTTCGGCAGTCGTCGCACACTTTCACCGGCTCCCTTCCTTCGAGCGCCTCTGGCGGCACGCGCCTCTTGTGCAAGAGTATCTTCGTGAACGTCGGCGAGCCCTCGCTGTCTTCGTGGGGGAAGTCCACGGCCGACGACAGCTCCTCGCGCGGTATGAGGGGCCATCGTTGGTGATACCACTCGGCCGACAGGCATTCCGCGAACTGGGCCCGGTCCTTTATGGTGCACTTGTCGCCCACGAGGAACTCCGAGTGGAGGTTCTCGGACCACTGCTGCATGGCGCAGCAGACGCAGGCCCGGGGCGCGCGGGGCTCCCTCGCCTGACACGCCGCCTGAGCGCGGGCTGCCGACTCCGCCGCGTCGGCCGTCTGCAGGGACGCATCCTCCGCGGGAGCCCCCTGTCCGATCTCGCCGACGATCCTTACGATGATCGCCGCGTGCAACAGCTGCTTCTGCACTTCCGATTCAAGCTTCGGGGCGAACGGCTCGTCCAAGGGGTCGACGGTGGCGCAGGACTGGGAGACGTGGAACCTGCGAACCACCTGCAGCGGGGGCGGGATAACTGCCGCCCGACCCCCAGATCTCCGCTGCCATACGTGCCCGAAAAAAACTCCAAACCCCAGCCGCCAGCGCCGGCAACGATAGCGCGAAGAGAATATCCGGGGGGGGTCGAGCGCAGTTCTCCCTCCCGCCCGCTCGCCTGGCGCTCCTCGGTCGGCGACGGCTGGTAGGGCTCCAGCTCGCATCGCGCCTCGTACTGCGACTGGAACCACCGCTGCCCCCCGTGGACCCTGTCCTGGCGCGCCTTGACCTCCTCCCTGTTGGGAAACTCGGCCTCGCACGCGCGGCAGGTATACTGCAGCGCAGGCGCGGGGCACTGAAACCACTCAGAGCGATCCCGAAGGCGCGCAGGCATGGCCGAGTGCCGTGGCGGCCCGCGGTTGCAGGGTCTGCGCTGCCACGCCTCCGCCAGGTGCGCCCTCGGCGGATTGCCGTCGCCCTGCGCCCCCGGCCCGTCGCCCGCCGCCATGCGGACCGTGGCCGACACGCAGTGTACGCCGCGGGCGGAGTTCAGGCGCTCGTCCAGGAGCTCCGCGACGTGGTGCATGTGCCACTCCCCGCACTCCAGTCGGCGCCTGGCGTCGGAAATCTCCTCCTCCGTGACCCCGAGCGCCTCCCGCAGCCTGCCTGCCAATTTGTTTGGCCGATCGGGGGCGCGCAGGAACGTCGCCCATCGGTTGGCGCAATCGTCGCCGGCGTAGACGAAGAAGTCAGGGCAATGCTTCAGCAGGTCATCGGCAGCGGCCAGCGGCTCCAGCAAGTGCAAGAGCAAGAAGAGGTCGCCGCACTCCCGGCGCGCGTCGCAGGCCGCCTGCAAGCTCTTCGCCTCTCTGCTGCTGCGCAGGACAGGGGCGGCGGCGTTGTTCTGGGCGTCCTGCCTAGACCCGTCGGCGTTGTCGCCCTTGCTCTTCGGCTTCCGCCCCTGCCGGAGCACCTCCTCCGGCCTGCGCCCGCGCTTTTTCTCCTCCTGCTGCCTGCCAGCGCGGCTCTGCTGCCTGCTAGCGCGGCTCCGGCCGTCGCGCCTGCCAGCCGCGCTCTGCTTCCCTCGGAGGCGGAGCCGCTTCTTGGGGGGCGCGCCGCGCCTCGCAGACGCCGCGGGCCGCTTCCGCGCGCCCGACAAGCTGGCGTCGCCGGCCCCGTCCTCCTCCTCGTTCTCTCCGTCCAGGCCACGGCTCTCCTCGCCGTCCGCGTCGGCGTCGCCGCCATCGCCCGCGCCCTCCGCGCCGTCGACGACCGCCGCTGGCGGCCAGGGGCACGCCGCGGCCCGGGCCGCTTGGGTGTCCACCCTCTCGAGGAGGATCAGGCGGGGCACCTTGTGCTCGGTACTGGGCGCCCACTGGACCACGTGCGGCCGATCGCCCAGATCGTCCGCAATGTACCAGCTCCCGCTCTCTTCGACATGGGCCACGTAGTGGCCTTGGATGCCAGTCGCGCTGGGGTGCACCGCGACCACCCCCGCGGGCGGGATCCACTCCACGTAGGCGCGCAGGCGGTATGCGATGTCTCCTCCCGCCGTTTCCAACGCCACCTCCAAGCGCTCGCCCCAGTCGGGCACGATGTCGAGAGCGCCGAGGAGGAGCGCCTCATCGCCGTCTCGCACCCACCTGTCTGGCACTTGGATGGCCAGCAGCTCCGGCGTCGACAGCAGCCGTCGCCCGCCCATGGAGGTGCAGCGGCGGAGCAGCTGTCGCATGTCCAGTCTCTGCACGTCGTCCAGGAAGAACTCCTGAAGGGGCACGGCGTCGTCGCCCTCGTCTGCCCCGTCCACGAAGGGCGGGGGCCGCATCAGGACCCCCTGCTCACCGTCGGACTGTATGAAACTGAAGAGGCGTTGGAGACTCGGCGCACCATCCGCGATGAAGGAGAGCGCCTCGCCAGCGTCCCCGTGCCTCTTCTCGCTCGCCGCCCCGAAGATAACGCGGTGCTTCGCCAGGAACGCGCCCACGAAAGCGCGCGGGGACCAGCGGTCCACGGGCAGGAACTCGCGAGCCTCGCCGCCACCGCCATCTGAGATCGCCGGCGCCCCGCTTCTGCAGGCGGCCGCCAGGGAGAGCAGCTCCTCTGGAGGCACATCAAATATATGCACTGCGTCCTCCTCCGCATGTCCCCGAATTCCCTATCCTCGGCACGCGCGGCATCAGGTCCCGACAACTTCCCAGACATCTGCCCCTCTGCACCCTTTTTTCTCCCCCTTCCATCCCCCATCTTCACACGCCCCCCCGTCCATCCCGCCCCATCATCCACCCTCTCCATCCCCCCCCCCGTCTCACGAACGAACCTACTTCAACCCGCTGTCCTGCACGACGAGCGGCTCGCTCTCGCCTTCGGCGCCCAGGAGCACGGCGCGCGCGGCGGGGCAGTGGAGCAGCCACTGCAGTGGCGCGTTGATGTAGCAGTTGTTGCACAAGTTGGAGAGGCTCGGGCACGGGCGCCGCCCGCCGCGAGACCGCTGCACAGCCGGTCGCCTCCACTGGGCCTCGTCGACGACGTCGTTTTCCCAGCACCACTCCTCATGCTGCGTCAGCAACGTCTGCTCTGCACACGCCGCGCGACTGTCATGCTGATTGGCTGCCTCCGACTGCGCCGCCAGCGCCTTGATGCGCATCTTCAGGCCCCGCGCAGCCGGCGTCAGCTTCGTGGAACCCTTTGCCCTGGCCCACCTTCGCGCCAGCTGATCTTCTCCTGGGTCCTGGGACTACGAAGCGGCATCCGGCGGTGCTGCTCAAGAAAAGCCAACACGGCGCGGAACGCCATCGTGGGTCGATCCTGTCCACCTCCGACCGTCCGCGGAGTCGGCCTCCTGCCGCGCGCCGAACACGGGGTCTGCCGATGGCGCGCGCCCGCGTCCGCAGGGCCGGGCGTGCGGAATGCGGCCCTGGCGGTCGATGCTGGGGCGCCTGCGTGCGCCCCTGGCTGCGGGGAAGGGCGCGGCGAATGCAGCGGCCGCTTCCCCGTCGACCTGCGCCGCACTGGCGCTCTCCGCTCACGCTGCGGCGCCCGGACACCCTCTCCCGTGGACTGCGCGGCCTCCTTTTTCAGGCGGGCGAACTCCTCGCGCTGCTCCCTCGCAGGCCGCGCCATGATGCGACCCCTATCCGCCTCGGCCGCCACCTGCGAGTCACGCGGCGGCCCGTAGAGCGAGTCCGCGCCCTGCCCTCGCAGCCGGGCGAAGAAGATCAGCGCTCCACCTCTTTCTTCCTTTTCCAAACGGATCCGATGCGGGGCCCCGCTGCCCTTCGGCGGCATCGCGCGGCGCCCGCCGAGTGCGCGCCGGGGAGCCGCGCGCGCCGGAGTCTCCGCCGACTCGATCCGGTCGTCCCGCGCAGGAAGTCCCGTCAACGAGCGGCGGTTGTCCGTCGAGAACGGGGTCGGCTTTGAGCCAAGATGCTTACGGACTGCTGATTCGGCAGCGTCGATGATAGCGCGGCGAGAACGGCATCCAAGAGGACAGCGCATGATGACGTCAGCTGCTCATATTCGTGAGCCAAATCCTCGAGGCTCGAGATTCGACGCTTTCTGGCCCTCGGTGGCCCTTTCCGTCGTCGCAGCTGAACGCAGCGCGCCGCGGAGCCCCCGCGACGCGCGCCGGTCGCCCCGGAGGAGCCCCGGCGACGCGCGCGGGTCGTCCGCGGCGCGCGCAGAAAAAGTAGCTGGGCAGGGCGCATTGCGGAGCCCCCGCGACGAGCGCCGGCCGTCCCGAAGGAGTCCTGGCGACGCGAAGGTCATCCTCGGCACTGCGCGATGCTGGCGCCGTCGCTTCATGCGCCCCAGTACGCCTCGCGAGGTCGCTTGCCCCGCGCGCGCCGGGGGCGGACGCCCCACGCAGCGGCTATAGTCTCTGCGGGCGAGGCGCCGCTGCGCCAGTCGCCCCGAGAGGGAGTCACGGCGACGCGCGCAAGTTGTCCGCAGCACAGAGCCATGAAAAGACGTGCGGTCCGACGGGGACGCACAATCCAGGAGGCGAGGGCTGGACGAGCACACCCGAGCTCAGGGAACCTGCTCGACTTCATGCTGGCCCGCGCGAAAGATGTCCCCACGGACGCAGCTCTATACTGGCCTGCGGGAACATGCGCATCTCGGAGAGGTTGTCGGCGCGGTGATCAATCTCCGCATGCCCTTCGAAGTGCCCAACGTCGCGGATCATGAGGCGCCTCGACCGATGCTGCCCTGGCAGAACCATAGCGAAGTATGCGTGGCCGCCCCCTAGGAGACGCCTGCCCAGACGGAGCGCCTTGAATCTCACGCCCTTCTTGACAGTGAGGTCAGCGCCGTTGCAAATTACGAACAGCGCAGTATGCGTATTCGCCAAATAACTGATTCTGTAGGGGCCGCCTGTCGGGACGATGGTTACCGAACGTCCTGGCGGGATGACGCACCGAGCGATGCCCAGAGTCGCGTTCCTCAGCACCCGGATCTCCCTGCCAGCGCCCAGTGCCGCCGCGACCGCCTCTGCCAGGCAGTGGAACCTCTGCCGCCAGAAGAAGCCAACCACGAGGCGCCGCAGATCGTGCTGCCCGTAGATCCCCCGAGCAGCGGGGGCCTTGCTGAGGGCGAGCAAGCCCGAGTACAGCTCCGAACGCGGCGTGGCCACCTCGAATGGGAGAACCATGTCGGACCAAATGGTGCCGCGGGAGCCGTTCGGGCTACGCAAGCCGCATCGACGCTCGAGCCACGCGGATACGGAGGACAGAGGAGGGGGAGAGAGAAGGCGCAGCCCGAGGAGGGGAGATGGCGGCGGCGGCAACGATGACGGCGGCGGCCGTCGGGGACAGCACCTTCGCACCGTCTCGAGGCCATCTCGGGCTATATTGCATCAATATTGGTCCTGGAGGCGTCCTGCGGCTGTCTTGGGCAACCCGCGGCGAGCGAAAGGCGGCCCTGGTGAGACTGAGCATCGGCTAACCCATCCCTATCCACACTGGCTTGGCCTTGGCCCCGTCGGCCGCTTTCCACCTCGAATGGCATATTCATATCGGGCTGGAATGGTGCCGCGGGAGCCGCTGGGGTTACGCGAACTGCGTCGACACTGGAGCCACGCCATTACGGAGGACAGAGTACGGAAGGAAGAGGAAGAGCAGCCCGAGGAGGGGCCAAGATTGGCCAACAGGCCTCCAAGACGGCCCAAGAAGAGGGCCCCAAGAACCCCCCAAGACGGGCCGGGAGGATACGAAAAGACCTGTCGAGCTCACCGACCCAAGACGCACCCAGGAAGTCCCGAGACGCCCCCCCCCCTGGGGGCAGGATCCTCTCGGCAGTTTGTTGGGCCCAGAGGAAGATTTCTAAAACCAGGGACCGTGTGAAATCGCACCCAGGGGCCGAAAAATCGCCCCCCCCCTCCCTCCTCCCTCGCCCGCGCCCACCTCTTGGCCCGAGAGACCGTGAAAAATCTCACCCAGGGGCCCAACAAAAACAGCACTCTCCCTCCCTCATCCCTCCCCCGTCCATCCCTCCTGGCATACCCAAACTTTTTTGTTTATCCTCTAAGCAGTTTGTTGGGCCCAGGGGAAGATGTCTGGGCCCAGGGGCCGTGGAAAATCACACCCAGGGACTGAACAAGTACTCCCCTCCCGCCCTCCTCCCTCTCCCGTGCCCAAAAAGACCCCCCGGGATCGAAAATCTCGTCAAAAAGAAATCGCCCCGAAAAACACGCGTCAATGCGTCAGAAATTCGCGGACGTGCGCGCCCGCGCACAGCTTCGACCGAAATCGCAAGATACCCCCGAAAACCGCACCGAAAACCAAGACAAAAATTGGCGTTAGTGGCCCCTGATTTCACAGAGAAAATACATTTAAACGTGCGAAGATTTCGGCCGAAGATGGGTTACCACCCCCAGCCCGGACGCAAGGGTCTCCCCCTGCGCCCGATTCGACCGCCGATGGGTTACCACCGGCGGCCCGGAGACAAGGGGTCACCCTTGCCCCCGATTCGGCCGAGGATGGGTTACCACCCCCAGCCCGGACGCAAGGGGCTACCCCTGCGCCCCATTCGGCCGCCGATGGGTTACCACCGGCGGCCCGGAGACAAGGGGTCACCCCTGCCCCCGATTCGGCCGAGGATGGGCTACCACCCCCGGCCCGGACACAAGAGCCCCCTGCGCCCGGCCGCTGTCTCGTCGTCGTCGTCGTGAACTCCTCAGTCGCTCCTTTCGGGAACTGGCCCAGACCTCCTCCAGATTCGAGCTTGACGTCGCCACAATTGACGACAGCTACAGGAGTTCATAACCCGATCGGATGGACGAGCGTGCCCGCGCCAAGCGTGAAACCCAAACTCCAAGAGATTTCAGAAAGCCCCCCGAAAATCATGAAACCACTTGCGCAGCGGGAACGATGAAGCACGATCCCCGAAGAGTTCAGCGCTACTGGCACTTGCGGGCTGGCGGCACTTGCAAGTGCAATTGCATTTCCACAATGCCGCTGCTGAGCAGCGCGGTACCGATGCTCAGTCCTCCTTCTCCTCTTCCTCCTCCTCCTCCTCTCCTCCCTCAATCTGCTTATCATCCGCAACGTGCAACCTGGCACGTTGAGGCGTGCCGGAATGCCACGTGCTGTCTAGCAAAATGTTTGGAGTCTCCCCCCCCCCCCCCCCCCCCCTTTACTCGCGCCGGCCCGCAAAAGACGCACCCTCTTCCCAAAGCTCCAAACGCAAAGCGATGGGCATCGTTACCAAATTGCCAGAGAGAGAGACCATGGACTGATAGAGAACAATTTTTCACGGTACGGAAGACGCACTTCATATACTGGGGACGCCCTGAGTTGGAAGCGGAAGCGTCAAACCTGATGCTCTGCCCGTGGATTGGGACCGTGAGATGGAGTGGCTGGGCCCTCAGAAGCGACTTCCACAGCCCATTATCCAGGGATTGCCCCAACGGTTCCAGCCACCCGATAGCCACCCAGACGTGCCAACGCATGTGTCACCAGAGTCTCGAGCTCCCCCCGACCTTCGGTGGAGCTCCCTGTGGGGCCACGAAACGCGTGGGGGGTGTGCCGAAATGGGCGCGGCGGGCGGCATGCGAGGTCTGCCACTGGGGCCT